GTTTTGTTGCTTGGCATAGCTCCTAGTTACCCTTCCCTCGGTTTCAGATGAGCCTTTACTACTGTTGTTCAAACGCTTCCTGCACCGTCAAGTTCCCGTTATAACTCTGCTCTGCTCCTCGTATTGATGGTTTTATGGAAGGAATAATGATAGTTCATGTCTGATAAGACGATCTGATTTCCTAGTGTCGAAGGTGTTGACGATGAGGTGGTGGTGGTGGAGGAGGAGGGGGAGTAGGAGATGAAGAAGAGTAGAAGAAGAAGAAGAAGAAGACGAAGAAGAAGAAGATAAGAAGAAGTAGAAGAAGAAGAAGAAGAAGACGAAGAAGGAGCCAAGGAGTAGCAGAAGAAGAAGAAGAAGGAGAAGGAGAAGGAGAAGGAGAAGGAGAAGGAGAAGGAGAAGAAGAAGAAGAAGAAGAAGAAGAAGAAGAAGAAGAAGAAGAAGAAGAAGAAGAAGAAGAAGAAGAAGAAGAAGAAGAAGAAGAAGAAGAAGAAGAAGAAGAAGAAGAAGAAGAAGAAGAAGAAGAAGAAGAAGAAGAAGAAGAAGAAGAAGAAGAACAAAAACAAGAAGAATAAGAAGAACAAGAAGAAGAAGAATGGGCTTAATAGTGGCAGGCTAGTACTAATAACAATAATAATAATAGAGTCTAATATCAGCGTGAGCTTGAAGAACCCACCCCAGACCTTCCTTATTCTCAGCCTACCGTCGATTTGTAGTGCAAAATGGCCAACAATCACGCTCTGTGTCTACGGCAAGAAACACTGGTTCATAAACAAAAGATACAAAAGTTTTGGTGCGAGACTAAAATAACCGGTATAGTGGCAGCCTCTTTTCTGTTCGTTTCAAAGTATGTTTGTTTCCAGCATTTTAGTTCATTCTGTGACACGCTTCAATTTTTGTTCTATCACTGCATTTCGTTTTACCATTATTTACCAGGCTGACCATAACGAAACCGCTTACCGGAATTTTGTACTTAATTTTTCTGAATGGTGTGAAAATCATAAGCTGCTTTTAAATGTGAAAAGAACTTGTCGTTGATTTTAGAATAAAGAAACTGCCCCTGCAGCCACTCAAAATGAAATGTGAAAACATCGAGCAAGTGTCAGACTATAAGTATTAGGGTGTTACAATAGACAACAAACTCAACTGGCGTGTCCACACTTCTCTCCTGCATAAAAAAGTGAACAAAAGACTATTTTTTCTAAGAAAGCTAAAGTATTTTAAAGTTGATAAAACATTGATGTCCATGTTCTACCATTCAACCATAGAAAGTATTATCAATTTTTGTATTACAGCATGGGCCGGGAACACAAGGCAACAAGATAAAGAAAAAGTAAATCGACTAATACAGAAAGCATGTAAAATTTCAACATCTTCATTCCCCTACTTGGATGAATTGTATATAACAGCTTGCACTAAGAAAATCAATTCCATCTTTTTAGACAACAAACATCCCTTGTTCCCTCAAATAAAAACATCAGTCAGCAGTAAAAGACCCATGCTTCTGATCTGTAACAAAGAAAGATACAAAAGGTCATTTTTACCATCATCTATCAAAATGCTTCCATCTTAACCATCTTGTTTAGTGTACTTACGACCTTAGAGCATGCATCAAAATAACATTGAGTGTGTATCTAGCTTACGATTATTATTGTTTATATTGCTGCTAATTTATATTATGCATGTGATTGTAAGCCTACTTGTGTGTGCATGTGTGTGCACGTGTGTACGTGTGTGTGTGTGTGTGTGTGTGTGTGTGTGTGTGTGCCCGCGCGCGCGTGTGTGTGTGTGTGTGTGTGTGTGTGTGTGTACTCGTGGTGGAACACCAAACCAATGTGCCAGGATCTGGACAATAAAGATGTATCTTATCTTATCTTATTTTATCTTAACGACGTGCGTTTTGAACCGTTGCACAAAGAGTTAAACATCTAATTAAACTAAGTGGGCAACCCCCAACACACACACACACACACACACACACACACACACACACACACACACACACATACACACACACACACACGCACACACACACACATACACACACACACACACATACACACACACACACACACACACACACACACACACACAATTGTCTCTCAGAATCCAACTTTAAATGAATACACAATAAGTCATTCCCTTACATGAGTCAATATTGAATATTCAAGAGCTGGACAAGTATATTTTATTTTATAGTTTTTGAAAGCTACTCGAAACTTGATATATAGTGAGGATAACAACTATTACAATCCGTGCTGTCACGCTGTTAAAACACTTAAAAGTGTCCAGTTTTATGGTTAATGTGGTTATGGTAAGAGCTAACACAATGATGGGGCTATTTTGGACAACATGAAATAACTGGTATCGTATTTCAGCCACAGAACGCAATGTGATTGTTCTGTTTCCTTGGTTGTTTGTTTGTTTGTTTTATTGTTCGCCTATAATTGCTTTTATTAAAGTTTGACGCATTGCACAGCTATAGGTTGTGCCTTTTTGAAAGTGGGATTTATTGCTCCAAACAGAGGATCAGGCTGAAATGATACATACATCACACAAAGGACGTTTGCATTAGCTTTATGAAGATGCCCGGCAGTTATTTACTCATCAACAAGTGCAGCTTTCGAGGCAGAGGCAAGATCTTCGGGACAGAACCAAATTGGGTTGGGGGGGGGGGGGGACGCGAACACGCACTAGATAACCAAAGTTCCTGAATGCTCCACTGAGTATTCGACCCAGGGTCGGCAGATACGAAATCAGCATGATAACAACTGAGCTAAAGACACCCCCACCCTAGGAACATTCAAGCTTGATGGGATAGACAAGCACTTACCAGTTTTTCTCGATGGAGAGGAGAAATAAGGAGGGAGAGGGGGGGGGGGGGGGGGGGGGAGATAACCAAAAGCCCAAAATCAAAGATAGGTTTTTTCCGGGGGGGCCCAAAAAATATAAACCAGAAAAAAGCCTAAAAACCCCCTTTTTCCTTTGAACTTTTAAAAAGAGCCCCGGGAAAAAAAAAAAAAAAAAAAAAATTCCGTTTTTCGAAAAACCATTAGCTTTACCCCCAAAAGCGCCCAATATACTACACAGGGGAGGCCGACAAAGGGTGTTC